TAGGGATCAGCGAGCCAATCAGAGCTCAGTTCGGGAATTAGCAAACGATACAGGCTTTGCATAATCATTCTTCAGTGATTTATTATTTGATGGGGGGTGGGGTGGGTGCCGAGAGATGATTTGCAGCCGAATGCCGATATTCGATGTATGATGACGGCTTTCACCAAGCTGTTGTTATTGTTTTCCAAATCATCACTCATCCAAATTAGGTGACAGTTCTTATATCAGACAGACATTATTAGTATTCGGATAAACACCACGGCACAAAATTCTTAACGTAAGCGCCTTTACAAACCAGGCAGATATTTGCTGGAATTCAACGGAACACAATTAAAGACCTCTAGAACCTTTCAATGCACATTTTCATTCTTGATGATATAAAAGTTTACACATTGAATATAAATACAGTGAATGTTAACAATTGAAGAGGATGAATAATAATCTGTACAAAATTGATAATGAGATCCAGGAAAACTTAGCAAGCTTTCGGTTTTATAGCAAAACTATAATCAGGCGAATGATAGTAATTTTAAGACATGGATGTAAAAACACAGATTTAATATTATAAAAACATTTTATCGAAGAAAACGTTCGAGAGTTACCAGATACAGGAAGATGCCTTTGAATACAGATAAATTAAAGCTCTAAAGACCGCTCCATGTCGTGGATAAAAAATCAATTTTCCGAATCTTTCAGATTGATATGTTTACAACAAGGGGCCGTTATGCATGAGCATGCGCGCAACCGCTGCGTWRTWACGACCATGGGCTCTAGAATACGGGTAGAATAACATTGTAGTCAGCTGCGGAAGCTTGGATTCTGAACATAATTGAAGTTTTTACTTATCTTCCACATTTTTCCAAACAAAACCAAGTAGATATATTTACAATGCACACGAATATCTTTCAAACATTATATAAATTACTGTGAGTCACGGGCTAGATTTATAACACGAAGCCACTTTGTACCGTTAAAATGTAGTGAATTATTTGTGCACACTTTTAGCAATAATAAATTCCTAAGATGTGAATCGATTGCACTGCAATAGTTTATTTCATAACTTATAATGATACAGCTATAGAACTACACATAGATATTTATGATAACTTGATTCAAACAAGCTCAACTCTTCAGCCAAAAGAGCGCTAAATCTGTCGTGAGTGCTCAACAGCACGTAAGAATTTGCAGAATTAACACCGTTCCACATTTTTCATAGACAAGAAAACATTATCAAACCATTTGCAAAGCATAAGTCTTGATATTGGTAGCCTTATTCTAATGAGTCCTGGTGGTATATAAAAGGAAAGTAGTATTTCATGTAACAGTTAATAATATTTAAGCGTAAATATTGTACACTTCAAGAAACTGTCTTTCGAACATTTCGAGGTCGATGTTACTAAACGATGCCTAATTATATTACTACATGTGTACATTTACCATTTACTTCATAACCTGCGTTGAATCTTGACCATCACTCAGCAAAAACTGGAATAGTAGTTGCGTATATAAACCACTGAAGCCTCCATATTGTAAACACAAAGTCATTAATATCAACATTTCTTAAATAAGATTTTAAACGGTCCCAATCAGTCCAATAACGCCAGTGTTTTTCCTCGTTGTAGGTTACACTATTTATGAGTGTTCTTGAGTCATGACAGAACATTTCAGGGTCAAAAACAGCCAAAAACATTTTTGGAAATTGTCCTTCGTGTCGTTGTAATTTCTCGCTTGAAGTGAATCACTAATGAATTTCAATGAATTTTCAACAGACTGGCGCATGCGCACGCCAAACGGCCCCTTGTTTATGTTTACTGTAGGCAGGGAAACATGGCGCCCCTCGTCAGGCCCCACGGGAGAAATGATCAACCATCACAATAGGTTCCTTGGCCCCTGGGAATCGTCGCTTGTGAATTCGTAGGCAACGTTATTATGGTTGATCGCCACGTGATGTTTCCAGTTCCTTGCAGCGCATACAGATAATTCAGAAAACCTGTATAATGTGTATTCAAACTTTACTAAATCTCTTAATGGCCTGAGTCACATGCAGTCCTCGACTGCCTATTTTTTTAACAAGATGAAATGTGAGAAATATAAAACTACATTGGAGTATCCATCAGTGGGCATCCATCTATGGACTACGGCAAGGGTTTTTTGTTAGCGGGAAGTATAGCGTGGAAAAGTCTCTAACCGAAACTGAAGCCTGGTAGCTTTATTGAAAAAAAAGACTACTTTTCAACCCCAACAGTGGCAATGTACATCAATACACGTCAGAAATACACCCCCCAGAAATTACGAAAGCCATTAACAATTACTTTTCAGTAGTATTTATTCATTTATTGTTTCATGCATCAACAATTTTCCCATATTTCATGATAACTGCATGTCTCTTGACAGCATTCTTCTTCTAAGCCTCGACGTTGTAGCGGCTTTAAGAAGGAATTGGCATCTCGTTCTACAACGAAACGGAATAAAAAGACATATAAATTCACACGTTTAAACTTCATCCGCCGAGCGCGTTTTTGTCAACATTATAATTCCAAGACCAATGGAAGATCTGCTTTAACAAGTCACGTGGCCAATCAATGGTAACTTTTGTGATTCGCGCCGCCGTTCATTTGACTGATTAGAGCTCATTGTCACACACGTTTTTCCCCATGGTTCGCAAGAAATACTTCAATTCCAGTTTGATATTGATGAAAGTTATACAAATACTGCTCATTTTTAATGAGGATTTCACTTATTGACGTTTTATATTGACGTTACTAAGAACATAGCTAAACAGTTGCCATTTTTGTTTGTTAATTCTAATTAAAGAAAGCAATTTTGACATAAGAAACAAATTACAGTATCAAGAATACTATACGCGGTACAAATACATGTCCAAGATATGAGTGCCCTGACGCGCATGATAGCGAGGTGTTTTYGCGCAAAATATATAAAACAAGAAGCGACGCGTATGTCATACGTAAAAACCGCGTAAATCTCACATTGGCATCAAATTTTCAGTACCTGGTACTTTTTCAGTCGGTGGTTGACAAATTTCAACGAACATTTTATGCAGCTCATCACTGCAAAGTTTCTTTTTCCCCTTGAAACCTTCTGCCGAATCGGTCACAATCAGAACAGCCACAACAACCACGAACAGAACAGGAGTTTTCATCTAGACAAAAACATTGATGATAAGATTAAAGTATATACAGTACATTTCAAACTGAATGGTTGACACTTTAAAAAGGTAGATTACAGCACTAAGAACTGTACAAACCAAAATGAGATCAGAAGGAATCATGAGAAACAGCGGTTAATTAGTGTGAGAGGCGTCGGTGTTTCTAAAGAAACAGATGTGAAGTAAAATAAATTTTAAACTGTAAAAAATATGAGAAATAACTTATTGAATTATCGGACGTTAGCCCTTCAATTCGTCCTCCGACGATGTCCGATGAAGGGGCTAGCGTCCGAAACGTCAGTAAGTTATTTCTCCCACTCTTAAATTTATCTTATTTCTCAACTAGATCTGGRCCAAGTTGTTCAAAGCTCGATTAACGTTAATCCAGGTTTAACTCCATAGGTTTTTGAGAGTTAACCTAGGATTATACTAATCGAGCTTTGAATAACCCGGGCCAAGGAAGCAAGGAGATAATTTCATCATTCACTCAATCTAACACAGATGAGTAAGTGGACATCAGTTTTTTTGTGCAACTCACTTGAAATTTGTGTAGTTTTTTTAAATATAATTTTTCCTTTATTATGAATGATGCCATATACTTATAAAAAAATTGAATCATACTTATAGAAAATGTGTCGAAATCTCACCGTGCAAACACCCCATAATATTGTTATCATATCGGTTTCAGAAAATTGCTTTTTTCGCTACGCTCACTCGTGAGAGAAGTTTTCAACACTCGAAGATAAAATCCGTATCTCCGCGCGCCCATGTAATATCCTCTATTTATCTGTGGTCCCAAAGCTGGATAACTCTAGGGATTCCCATTGAGGAACCACAAGGAGCACAGTTTATGTGAATGTTTAAGGAACAACAAATCGGTTGGGAATAAATCGCGATTTAYGACACAAAAACATGACACTAAATTGGACAACAAATCATGAACAATCTATGAGAATTTGTTCAGAATCAAGAGAATCCAGTCAAAGAAAAATCTAATTCCGCTTCCACCTCTGAAAAAAACAACAAGTTAAATGTATTGATGTTTTTGAACCAGAAAATAGAGTCTAACCTTGTGTACATATACACGACGCTCTGGGCTAAAGTAGAGTTGAAAATGAAGATAACATCTCTTTTTCGGCAAATWTATACCAAAATGAACGGAGTTTTTAAGCAAATACATAAATATTTACAAAAGGTTTGCTCCTGATAACTAGCCGCATTTTTAGAAGTGTTAATTTCGAATAGATTAGCGAGCTGTTTACAGGAAACGAGTTGTTTAACCACTGTTTAAAGACGCCTAACGAACAGATTTTAATGAGAGTGGTTTTGTTTGCAATTAATAGCCAAAACGAGCACCATTTCGGATCTAAAGTCACGATGCCCCTCCTTTCGGAATGAATTTCTGATTTATTTATTTATGTGTTTTATTAATACCATATCATAATTTATAATAATTTTTTTGTAAAAACGTAAGAAATAAATCCCACAAAATAAAATGGGAACATTTGATCTCTCAAGATCCTCAAGGCGGAAGCAGAATCTAATGTGCCCCCTTTCAAAAATTTTGCATCCGCCCCAGCATTTTTTGTGCAGAAACGTGGGTTTTAACCAGAGAAAATATTAAAGTCCTACTAGATCGATTACGATGGCTCTCTATCTGACGATCAGGCATCGAACAACAACCAACAAACGACATGATGCATTGTGGGTATAACAGTATAACAGTACAGGACGAAAAAGAGCGAGGACTGGAACGAAGTCCTTCAAGCTTACTGTCAAAATATGACATGCGCAGAAACGATTTCGATTTGAGACAGAAAAAATTACTTCCGRATCTCATTTTATCTTTTTGMATTTCAATGAGTCGAGGAGCTCACATTTTGTGRCCCACAATTCCTTTCTAACCCAAATGGCCGCCATCTTGAATTCAAAGTATCGCTAAAAMGCAAACTTGATAAAAGTGTATTTCAATTACGAAAGTTATCATAGAAAAGTGTTCGCATTCTCCTATCGTATAAGAATCCTARCCGCTTTTAAAGAATAACTGTTTGAAAGGAAGTCAGTTGGGAAGTCACCTTGTAGCAATCCCATCGGAAAGGTTCACGAGCTTGTCACCTTGGTTTTCCTTTTAGCACAGTTATCTTTGAAAAGGGAATCCATCGGCCATAATGAACCTACCTAACCATTATCACTAATGAATGTGTTTGTTTACCTAAAGATACCATGGTGATGGCTTTAGCGAACAAAGTATAAAAGTGAGACGTGTGAGTTTATCATCCCACTTGATGCTGAAAGGAACTCTTGACGAAGATGAAAACATAAACTTCACTTTCAAGGTAAGTTGAGCTCACAGTGTATAATAATGCTCATCTTGCATCCATGTATCACTATTTAAGGTTTTTATCGACGTTGTAGTTA